GTTGGAGACAAATATTTACTTTGAGCAATAAAAGGGCATTGCGAAGTAGCGCGATGCGAGTGTGTTTGTTACAGAGGGGAAAATGGAGAAGGAAATCCTTCGAATTGATAACCTATCCCATCTTTATTCATTGGCTTCATTGAAGTTTTCAATCAGCTTTGTCTGCTACCATAATTCAGCATTCTCTTCACGGCCTCGATGCTGCAAGCCTATTGGTTTGTAAACTCTTTTTCTCACTTTAATAGAAATTTCCTTCTAAGTCTAATCAACTGGTGGCCAATGAAATGTAGTTAACCATCGGTTCGGTCAAGTGGACGAAATTGTAAGGTTCAACACACGACTTAAACTAAATGGCATATGCGATGGGGACAATCATTTTTAGGCATACCCTGTTTTTAACGTAAGATTACTTTCTTGGAATTGAGTCTATGGCTTTTATGAATTAGCTGATCTATTGTTATAGGCAGATTGAAATAAATGGAAGAGGTTCGAGTGGGTCTTGATGTGCTTCCACTCTTATTGAGCAGGCTAGGAGCATATAAATAAAAAAGAGATGCCACTCGATTACCACAACTATGTTTTGCGTCCCATTTTAGGGATACTGAGGATGAATTGGTGATGTAGTTCTTCCTGATCCGAAAGAGTTTCTAGGACATGAGCCCTCATGAATGTCAATAATAAAATTATATAAATAAATAGAACGATGTACAGCTCGAAATCTATTCATTTAGTCTATAATATGATCATAGATAGTTAGCCTTATCGATAAAAACCCCACTGTGAAATCTAGATTGGGAGAGACCTGGCTCGCCTTGAAAGCCATATCTGCCCTATCATCAACTGATTTCCGTGAATGTATGGCCGAATACTAATTCACTGCTGCTTGATGCGCACGACCCAGTTTCCAATCCGGTTCGGAGCTGAAGTCCAGACCGGATGAAGAGGTCTTTTGCGAGGGAAAACTAAGCGAAATTCAAAGGCATAGTTGGGGTATTGCAACTTAGACTCTCAGTCATACGTCACCTTGAGACCAACTTTATAACTAGATCCACATTTAATGTCGAGACCCTCTCATTTGGTACGTATACTTAAGCGCACTTCACTTAGAGGCCTACAGTGAGTATGATTTTCATAAAGTAAATTCTTTCTGCTTAACTCACTCTTTGACCACATTTCCTCTGTCCCCCTCGAAAAGCAACCAGTAGGCACATGATTGTGGTAGAACAACATTTTGTCGAGTAAGTGACTTCTAAAGGTATAAACATGTTCTGATGCTCAAGGGGGTATAAGAAAAGTTAGACATTTCTTGTAGTCATCTTATTCCCGAGTCTGCTCAGGTTGTATGTACATGCTGAGCCGGCCTGGGCTGATCAAGCAAGCAGTGCGTCCACAGAAAACGAGCTTTTGCTCACACTTCCGTTGCCAAATGAGCCAACGGCATGGCGTTCGTTGGAATTCACTGAGCCAGTCTGCTTTGATCCCGTGAGGTCGATCGAGCACAATATGATATTTCGATCCTCGGGATGGGAACTCTCTCTGGTGGCGTCAGGAATTGCCCTGCTATGGGGAATATCATGTGACAAATGTGGATCGCTCTGCTTGTCCACGGTTTGACCATTTATCGCAAGAGCCTCTTCAGGCTGACGATGCCAATGTTGAGTCATTATTGGTACTTTGTGCTCGGGGAGTGAAGGAAAGATGTCTGATTGCTTACGCACCGGAGAGACTGCTTCAAAGAGCTGAAAACTAAGTGAAATATTTGCAGTTTTGGAATTGTGGGGAAGAAGTATTGCCTCTTGAGACTGTGAATTGACTGTTATTTCGCCAGTCTGTGAGAGACTTGAGTCTGGTCTCTGCATCGTCTGGCGAGCTTGCAGGCTCTCGAAATCTTGGGCTCTCTCTGGCTCAGCCGAATTGGTGCTGGCGCGCTCTAAAATCGTCTCAGGCCCTGACGAGCAGTGAACTGATGGGATACGGCTCTGTTCTGAAGGTTTAGGCCTTGGTTTGCATTTATCCGTGGAATAGGAGTTGGTACCAGATGCGGTAGCAGCTGTGCCAGGGCGGTGCCAGCGTTGATGAGAGGCCAGGTTCGCAGGACAGTTGAATACCTTCAGTAGAAATATAAGTAAAGATGACAAAGAGGTATAATAATACGATAAAACATGAGCAGTCCAATTTTATTTTGGTCTATTCCTTACTTCTTGTTGAGCAATTTGGCCATCAGTGCTTACCACCCCATACAAATGATGAATGAATAAAAATTGTAATTGATACTAACATTAAGATGGATAAAAGTGTGAAAATGTGGAAATGGTATATAACCATGAAATAATGACAATGTTTAGTGTTTGACTAACTTGCAGTTAGACAAAATAATTTAGCAGAATAGAATAGGCATTGGTTGTTTGAGCAGCTAAATAGTTTTATAAAAGTGTTTACTGAAATTTAAGAAAGGGAATTTTTGGGACAATAGTTGGGTAGGTAAATGAGTAGCCTTCAGTGTAGTACAGAGGAATTTGGTTATTTGATTGATTAGAGAGTCGTGTATTAGATTCGCTTCCAAATAACTCACTTGACCTATCAATATATTGGTTGAAGAGCAAGTGAGTAGGTAAGGGAGAGGGCGCGTAGTTAGCAGATATGGGTAGGAATGTATGCTATCACGTATGTGGGTAGTTAAGAGGGTAGGTTATGTACATTGTAAAGTGATGCTTTAGT